GTTTTATATATATATATACATATGTACCTATGTTAATTATTGGACTTGAAAGATAAGTTCATAAGTGCATGTTTTCAAGAAGGTAAACACGTCTCATGTTTTGAAAAGTATTTCAATTAATGTAAGAAGTCCATTCTTTGTAATGGGTGAATTGAGCACAAAGTTATATTAATTATTTTGGGAGTAGTATTGAGCACTGAGTTGGGTTAGAGTGTTTTATAACTCAGAAGTCCGATAAAACTACATAGCCAGCGTAGGATAGGATAGCATTGATTCTTCATGCGACTCCTCACCGCTTCTAAGAAGGCATATAGTTGGATTCATAGTCACGATATCATCATTTACCCCCGACAAGGTATAGGATGGACCCTTGCAACGTGCGGCGGGACGTTGTATCATATCCAGACTCATGGTAATGGTTGTCGGTTAGAGAAACTCCTCACAAGTAAAGTATATTATTTTCAATAGCTTTCATTGTATTTTTTATTTTAAAGCTTAAATGGTTTTCACTTCATGTTCATGTATTGATTCAGTTGAGTTGCTTTCAACCATTTAGTTCAGTTATTTGTTTACTCAATCGTATTAAATACTCGTACATTTCATGTACTGATGTCATTTGACCTGCATCCTTCTATGATGCAGCTATAGGCTTTCATGATTATCAACAAATGCTTCGTTGAGATCACTCTACACTCCAGTTAGCTTTGGTGAGCCTCCTTGTATTCTAGAGGACTTCACAGTTACTTTCCAGTTAGTAGTTTTGTGGTGTCGTGGGTCTTGTCCCGAGATCCTTCCTTAATAGTAGAGGATTCATAAATAGGTAGTTTTGGAGAGTCTTTCACTTTCAGATATTTTATTTAAAACTTTTGTTTCATACTCAATTTATTCAACAAAGTTTTGAGATTCAGTAAAATGTTTTTAAATGTTTCTTTCAATTTGATCCTTATGTATTCTTGAGTTAGTCTTCCGCTTGTAGTCAGCTAGGATGAAGGTTCGCTTGGCTACCAACAATGGTTCTTGAGTGCTTGCCACGTCCAGAGTGTAGGCTCGGGTCGTGACAACAATAGTTGTTGACACCCAATTTTGGCTCTTCACATTTATTTAACTAAAGTTTTAATAATAATAATAACAATAATATATGTATATGTTATGAAATTTTTGTAGGAATACGAAAATATTTTTAATTATTTATTTTATTTGATAAATTTATTTCATAAATATTATATTTTATAAAAATTAAATATTATATAAATATTACTACTTACTTCCTCATTTCTTTAAGTTTTACGTCAAATAAATATTGTTCTTAAGGGTTAACTTATTTTTTCTAATTAAATATAATTTCTATTATCGTAATAAATATTTTTTGTACATTTTTTCAAAACTAGGAAAGCTTAATTAATTAATGAGTTACTAATTTATACTAATTTCATTTTTAGAATGACTAATTTTATCAAATAAGTTGATCTTGCAAAAGAATTATTTTTAATTTAATAAATTATTGCTATTTAACAAAGAAGAGGTTATAATTTAAATGATTTAATTTGAGCAAAATTTGGCAATCCAAGTCATCCTAATTCGGCCGATCCGCACGTGCCACGTAGGAAGCACATGGATTGTGCTTCTTTAGCTTCAATCTCCGCCCTACGATCTAATCTAACGGCCTTAATTAATTCATCCTTTTACTATTATATATATATATATATATAATTTTAAAACCCTTTATTTTTATTAACCGTCCGATCAAACGATCAGACGACCAAAATTAAACAAAGACTTTTCAATCCTTCCCAAAATAGTACGCCTACGCCGCCCTATACTCTTCTTTTCCCAAAAAAAAATGAAAAATATACGCAGATAGAATACATAGATTATGAATTAGAAAGTGAAGATTGCATATATGAAATATCAGAAAATGAAATAGATAATAACATAGAAATAGAATCAGATAATGAATTCTATAATATAACAAATAACTGAAGCAGACATACAAATAATAAAAATGAAAAATGACTTCATGCTAGAAATGCCCTAATACTAATGGAAGTAGTTTTGAAATCGTGGCCTATAATCATTGATGGCATATCGTGTAACACCTTAGATTCAAAAGGGGTAGAAATTTAGTTTCATAAAATCTGGTGCCATTCCTACAGAGGCCAACCACGGCCCGTGGAATGAACCACAAACCATAGGTCAGGTCCGTGGATTAGCTAGTCAATTTCTCTAAAATGTTAAGTTTCAGTACTTGTTCGACAGTTCACCAGGACTGCCTGTCGTTCAATGTACGAGCTGTAAATAGGTTTCATAGGTGAGTTCCAGACTTAGAGAGATTTTGAGGTCAAAAGTTAAGGACCACGGTTGTGACCCACGACTCGTTGATTGGACCATAACACGTAGGTGGGTCCCATCGTTTGGTGTCCAAAAATCTTGGTTTCTGAACCAAACTAGGAGGGACAGGATGGTCCGTAGGTGGACGCACAGACCGTAGGTCCCCACCTCGACTAGGTTCGACAATTATTTCTTAGGTACTTTTGGGTCTTTTTGTAATTATTTTATCCTAATACTATGTCATTTTAACCTTCAATAAAACCCCTATATAAGTGCTTTAATCCCTTAATTTGCCCAATTGAAATCATTCTCTCATTCAGCCTAGGGTTTCAAGTCAAGTCTCTAATTCCTCCACTGAAGTTGAGCAATTGGCATTGAGGTATGATAGTTTTCATCCATGGATTCCTTCCATTCATGGAGTTCCCAAATTCTTCTATTTTCAAAGATAGAAATCCTCAATTGAGTTAGGGTTTTTCTTCTATGTGATGGGTTCTCTTGATTATTGATTTAAATGATTAAATTGATGAAATTCTATGGTTTTATGATTATTTTTCCCATGAACCCATGTAATTCCCATGTTTTCCCAAGTTATGATGATAGGATGTGGGTTTTAAACTATGAAAGACGAAATTATGAAATTAAGCATGTTCTTATGGAATTTATGTAAATGTTTTAAGGATGAAGTATCAATGATGATCATTGTTATTGGGTTGTTGAACAGATTTCTCATATAAACATGAATGCACGATTGTGAAAGTTTTCTCACATAATAAGGGTTCCTAAGGTTGAAAGGCTTTCTAACCTAAAATGAACCATTGATTAATGAGTTAAGCTAATGTTGAGGCAAGAGGATCACCCATGCTCTCTATTGAATGAAAAGAGGCGATTACCTATGTCAAGTGATCTAAGGACAAAAGGAGATTAACCATGTTACTTTAAGAGCTAAGATGAATAGGATTAAGAACTATTTTGCGGAAGTTAATCTTAGTATCGAGTTGACAAGTGGCAATTACCCAAGTCCCATAAACTATGTGCCAACATATGAATTGTCTAGATAGACATTAACTAGTGGATCCACAATAACTAGAAGTTCATGGTCCTTACCGTGGCAAGTAGGACAACTCTTTTTGGTGTGGGATACACTAGATTCCATGTTGATAGCTCGCATGGTCTTATATGTCGGTTAAGGCTTTTTCCCAAAAAACAAGCAAAGTTATGATGAACCAAGATTACCTCAAAAGGTATCGTGAGGTAAGGTATCATAACTATGTTTTAATATGATGTTCACTTGCATTAATAATGTTTTATGACTTATGACTTCTAACTCTCAAGATTGATGTTTTATCTTGATCATTGCTTACTCATGAAAATGTCCCATTTTAGCATGTTTTAAATGAGTTTATGCATGGCTATGATACTAGGTACTTATTTTGTACTAACACATACCTTTGCCTACATTTCCCAAAATGTAGAGTCCGACAGTCAGGGCTCTAGTTTCATTGCTAGAGGTTGACTTGAAATATTTCTGAGCTTTGGTGAGTCCTCATGCTTCAAGGACGTATGTTCATTGTTTCAGTTTTCTTTCTTACTTTTAGTTTTGTACATAATGTATGGGCTAGGTGTACTAGATGGCTAATGAGACAAGTGTTTAGACTTCTGCTTTACTTTTATAAAACTTTTGGAATTGAAATATTGGTCTTTATCTCTTTTGTTCTATTTCTTATGTTATGAATGCTAAGTGGCTTGTATGGCACCTATCGGGGTCCTATGTTCCATATTACACCTAAGGAGTACCTTTGGATGTGACAAACTTGGTAATCAGAGCACAAGATTTAGAATGGTCCTAGGAAGTCTCATATGCCACGTCGAGTAGAGTCTTGTTCATGAGTGTGAAGCGTGCCTTACTTATGAATGAGAGGAAACAAGATGATTTGGAAACTACACTTCTTTCTTTATTCTAAAGTCGAGTGATAAAGTTTAACTCTATAAGATCTCTCTCCTAATCCTTATCGAATGCTCTTCAGGATATAGCTACTCAAAGTGCTTATGCTAGAAGGAATGCGGGAGATAATGCTAATAAAAAGTCTCCTTCTTAAGATCCTTAAGCTCCGGTCGACCCTTTGGCCGAGCAAGTGACTAATGCGTAGTTTAGGGCTGCTTTTCAAGTCTGGCTCAAGCAATGACGACCCAAGCCAATAGGGAAGTTATGGATCCCGTGAACCCAAATGTGGGTACGACATCATCTAGAATGAGGGACTTCACTAGAATGAATCTCCTGGAATTTTATGGTTCTATGGTTGAGTTGGATCCCCAAGAGTTCATTGATGAGGTCTATAAGGTATGGATCATCATGGGAGTGACTCCAGTGGAAAAGGAGGAGTTGGCCGCTTATCAACTTAAGGGTGTTTCTCAAATTTGGTTCAACCAATGGAAATAGGAGAGGCCGGAAGATGTGGGTCCTCTCGATTGGGAAAAGTTCAAAGTTCCTTTCCTCGATCGATTCTTTCCCTGGACATGAGGAAGGAAAAAGTGCCCGAATTCATTAATCTTCATCAAGGAAGCATGAGTGTGAAGAATATGCTTTGAAGTACACATAATTGCCTCGATATGCTCCTACTATGATTACCGATCCTAGGGAAAAGATGAGTAAGTTCGTTTCGGGTATGTCTGAAATGGTTGTTAAGGAGTGTCGTACCGCCATGCTTGTTAATGATATGGATATTTCTTGTCTTATGGTTCATTCTCAACAAATTGAAGAAGAGAAACTTAAGGAAAGGTCTAGGGAGATAAAGAGGGCTAAGACCGATGATGACAATTCCTCACGTTCAAGGTCCGATGGACATGGTCCTTCTAGGTTCCAACAAAGGTTTTCGGTCAAGGTTCCTCTAATGCTCCTTCTAAGTTCAACAAGGATAGGGTGTCAAACCCTAAGTCTCAAGGAGGAAATAATAGTGGGTCTCTATTGACTATGTGTGCTAAGTGTGGAAGGAAGAATGAGGGCAAGTGTCTAGCGGGTTCCAATGTTTGTTTTAGGTATGGTAAGATGGACCACAAGATAAGAGATTGTCCTTCAGTTGCTAAAAATGAAGGAGATAATAGCCGAAGGGCTAAACCTAATCCTTCATCCGGTCCAAGTGGTTTGGGTTCAAATGCTCCCAAGCAAAACCGATTTTATGCACTTCAGACTCGCCATGAGCAAGAGGGTTCTGCCGATGTGGTTACCGTATGTTGAAAGTCTTCCAACTTGATTTTTATACTTTACTTGATCTCGGTGCTACCTTGTCTTTTGTGATGCCATATGTGGCGATGAGGTTTGATGTTCTTCCGGACGTGTTGTTAGATCCCTTTCATGTCTCTACTTCTGTTGGTGATTCTATTGTGGCTAACATGATCTATAGAAGATGTCCTGTTTCCTTGTCCCATAGAGTTACTCTGGTTGATTTGGAACAACTTGATATGCTAGATTTCGATGTGATTCTTTGTATGGATTCGCTGCACTCATGTTATTCTTCTATTGATTGTAAAACTCGTGTAGTCAAGTTTCAGTTTCCAAATGAGCCTAGCCTAGATCGGAAAGGGGGAAATTCTATGCCTAAGGGTCAGTTTGTCTCTTGTTTAAAAGCTAGAAAGATGATTGCTAAGGGTTGCATTTATCGTGAGGGATGTAGATTCTGAAACCCTTACTCTTGAGTCGGTCCCCATTGTTAATGAGTTTCCAGAAGTGTTCCCTGATGATTTATCCGGTATTCTTCCCGAAAGGGAAATAGACTTCGGTATTGACCTTTTCCCCGATACGTAACCTATCTCTATTTGTAACATCTCATATTCTAGAAAACCAAAAATGCAGAAAATTTAGAAGTTGCAGGTGCCACCAACGGGGCAACCTACGGATCGCAGGTGGGATCCGTGGTTGTCCACCTGCAGCCCTTCCCCAGAAACTCCAGAAAGTTTAGTTAAGGGTTGACCCACGGTCGGACCTACGAAATGTAGGTCAGACCACGGGTCGTGGTCCTGGTCCATGGATCGAGATCCTTAACACCTCTCCTCTGAAGCTGAACGACGGTTGACCAGGACGGACCGTCGATCAATACATGGTCTGTCGGTGGCTTTGGTAACTTTTAAGTCTAGGTCATTTTGGTCTTTTCCCTATGCGTTGGACACCTAAACTTCATTTAACCCTTAAAATATGTCATTTTGGTCAGTTTTAGCCTAGTAACTTAATTATAACTTACCCTAGTCAAGTCATTGACCAAAAACTCAGAAAAATTAGAGCAAAAAGGAGAAAAGAGTCGACGAACCTGCTCCAAGAACGCAGCATGGTTTCCTCCATTTCCATCCCCGAAATCAAAAGATTTCTCCGTGGAATTCGTCACCAGGTATCTAGGATTTCACTAGTGGGTTCCTTTCACCCATTGGGTCCCTAGAATTCAGTCAGATTCTTGATTCTCTATATCATGTTTAGACCTAGGGTTTCTTGAACTTTAGACAAGTGTTGTGATTTAGCTGTTAGACTAATCCTAATCATATAATCATGTTTTTTGAGGAATTGTTGCTTAGCTTATTGCATGAAACTCAGAACCCTAGTTGTGTAGATTTGTTTAGTTCATGAATTACACTTGCTAGGTCAGTTTATACAAATATACATGTATCCGTTTATAAATGTTTCATTATCAGTACTTAATGTTGCATTTTCAGCTAGCATATCAGAATTTCGAGCTATCCAGTTATTGCAGTTATGTTGTATTTTATACATTCTAGTTAGGAGTAGGCTTAATATCAAGTGGACTAGGGTCAGTCACCCTCATAGTCCCAGAACTACGTGCCCCCGTAGGTTAAGTCCCCTCTGTGGGAAACACATTTAGTGATTACTCCAGTTATGCCTTTATACCCCTTGCAAGGTATATTGGGTCCTATCGATTGGGCGATACATCAGAATTCACATTTAGCTCACGCGGTTTTATGTCAGTTATTAGTAGCTCCAAAGTTAGATTCTTGTGCATTGACAAGGTTACCAGTTATATCTCAGTATTAAGTTTCAGCGTGTTATGTACTTTGATGTCCCAGCTGGAAAGTCAACCTTTTCATATTAATGCCTGCCCTATTAAGATTCCAACTATATATGCATTTATGCATTTTCTTTTTATGCGACAGGTTGTTGCACTCAGTTTTGTTAATGTTTAGTATGTTAAGTATATTCATTATGTTCATCTTATATCATTGCTCAACATGCTTTATTTAAGTTATTTATTGTTGTTCAGTTTTATCCTATCTTTCATGCTCAATACCTTTCAAGTACTAATGCATACTCTGCGCTACATCTCCTCGTGATGTAGGTTTAGGTCCTCACCATTCATATCACAAATAGATCGGTTCCCGATCTCCAATTTAGCAGTATCAGTGGTGAGTCCTCATTCTTCGAGGATGATAGACATGTTTTCTTTCATTTTTCAGTCTTTTTATTATTAGTTTTGATAGAGGTAGCTATGGGGCATGTCCCAACATCTCTAGTTAGTTAGAGGCTTTTATTCAGACATAGTTAGATTCAATTTTAGTTTTGAGTTAGATCTTTCAATTGTTATTGAACTCTCAGTTTTTATATATTTATAATTAGAATTAGTATTCCCCATTATTTCAGTTTATGTCATGTTTAAGCTTCCGCACAGTATTTCTACTTTTGGTTTATCTTAGTATGCTTATGATATGCTAGCAGTGTTAACTTTGGGTCACTCGTGATCCTAAGTCCCGTGTTGCGTCAAGGGGGTAGCTTCGGGGAGTGACAAACTTGGTATCAGAACACTATGTTTAAGAGTCCTAGGATGTCTGAAAAGCCGCACTAAGTAGGGTCCCTTCCATGAGTGTGAAGCGGGCCACACCTATGAGGGGGAGGCTACGAAGTGTTATTGGAAAAACTTCACTTTCTTGATATTCTTATTATGCGTGGGTATGATCTCCTTTCTAATTGAATGTTATGCGTTTTTAGATCATGCCTCCTCGTAGAGCTTACCCAATGAATGCTAATTATCACCGATGTAGTTCCTCTAGTCCCATACCATGAGGTTTCGAATACTGAGTTTTGGAACGCCATTCAATTTTTGGCCCAGACTGTAGCTAACCAGAACAATCAATAGATTTCAGTTCCCACAAATGCTAGTGGTGGATCAGTGGTAGCTAGGGTCCGTGATTTTGTTAGGATGAATCTGCCAGAGTTTCTAGGGTCGCAAGTTGGTGAAGATCCCTAGAACTTTAGTGATGAGATCAAGAAGATCTTTGGAGTGATGCAAGTGACTGGAACTGATAGGGTAGAGTTGGCTTCCTACCAGCTTAAGGATGGGGCTTACATATGGTTTACGCAGTGGAAGGAGAACATGGGTAAGAATGTAGTTCCTGTAACTTGGGAGTGTTTTACTAGAGCTTTTCTGGACAGGTTCTTCCTAAGAGAGTTGAGGGAGGCTAAGGCTAAATAATTCATGAATTTGAGACAAGGTTCTATGTCGGTCCAAGAGTATGGACTTAAGTTCACCCAGCTCTCCAGGTATGCTTCACATATGGTTGTCGATCCTAGGGCGCAAATGAGTATGTTCCTATTTGGAGTATCTGACTTGGTGAAAACAAAGTGAAAAAATGCGATGTTGTTAGAAGTTATGCATATCTCTAGGCTCATGACTCATGCCTAACAAGTTGAGGGAGATAAACTTAGGGAACAGGCTAAGGATAACAAAAAGTCTAGGACATGTAACTATGAGTACTCTCAATAGAAATCGGGTGGTGGAAATCGCTCGCAGTTTCAACAAAGGTCTTCAGCTCCAGCACCTTCAACGCTAGTGTTCCATCCTCCAGGTTTCGATAGGATCAGAAAGGTAGGGCATTAGGCTTTAAGTCTGAGGAGAGTGTTTTAGTTACCAGAACCTACCCAACTTTTCCAAAGTGTGGTAAGAACCATCCGGGAGAGTGTCTTGCAAGAAAGGATGGGTATTTTGGGTATGGTCAGACTAGTCACAGGTTGAGGGATAGCCCTCCTTATAAACATGGATAATGAGGTAACAATAGTAGGGCTTAGTCTATAACTTAAGTAACACCAGCAGGTCACCCAACTGAGTAGGGTACCTCATCTGGTACAGGTGGCGGTCAGCACCAGAATAGGTAGTATGCTCTCCAGGATCAAGAAGATTCTCCTGTTGTGGTTACCGGTACGTTGTGGGTCTTTCATTTAGATGTTTATGAATTGTTAGATCCAGGGACTACTTTCTCCTTTGTAACTCTATGTATAGCAATAAAATTCGGTGTCAGTACAAAAACTCTCTCAGAACCCTTCTCGGTCTCTACTCCAATCGGTAACCCAGTTATAGCTAGACGGGTATACAGAAATTTCCCTGCCACAATCTCTCAGAAAGTCACCGCAGCAAATCTCGTATAATTAGAAATAGTAGACTTCGATATCGTTCTAGTCATAGATTAGTTACATTCTTGTTATGCCTCAATCGATTGTAGAACTAGGATCGTTCGTTTTCAGTTTCCAGATGAGCCAATCTTATAATGGAATGGTAGTAGCTCAGTTCCTATGGGTCGATTATCTCTTACCTTAATGCCAAAAAGATAATCTCTAAGGGGTATCTCTATCATCTAGTTCAGGTTCAGGATTCAAGCTCCGAACACCAACACTTGAGTCACTTCCTGTAGTGAATGAGTTTTCAGAAGTGTTTCTAGAAGATATTCCCAGAGTTCCTCCCGAAAGGGAAATCGATTTCAAAATTGATCTATTTCTAGATACACAACCTATTTCTATTCCTCTTTACATAATAACTCCAGTTGAGCTTAAGGAATTGAAAGAGCAGTTGAAAGACCTTCTAGATAAGGGCTTCATCAGACCTAGTATTTCCCCATGGGGTGCACCAGTTTTATTCGTTAAAAAGAAAGATGGTTCTCTTAGGATGTGCTTTGACTATCGGTAGTTGAACAAAGTCACAATCAAGAATAAGTACCCTATCCACATGATTGATGACTTATTCGACCAACTTCAGTGTGCTAGTTATTTTTCGAAGATAAACCTCAGATCCAGTTATCATCAGCTCAGAGTCAGAGATAGTGACATTCCGAAAACAGCCTCTAAAACTTGGTATGGTCATTATGAATTTGTAGTTATGTCATTTGGACTAACAAATGCTCTTGCAGGTTTCATAGATTTGATTAACAGGGTGTTCAAGCAGTATTTGGACTTGTTCGTTATCGTCTTTA